TGCACTAAGTATGTGTGTTTTATTGTTGTATACACATTTTAAATAAACCTACAAATAAAATAAAGGATAAAGTGAGGCATTTTTTAATGTAATTAGGTAGAAGTGAGAAAAATAGAAACTAAAATATAAAGAAACTAAAATATAAAATAATTAAAATACTTGGTTGCAATTTTAGAATCTCAGTTTTAAGACACATTCTATTAAACAATCTTTCTAATTTTTCGCATTTAGGATATTTCAAAATATTGTACTAGCTCAATATTTTCAGCTCAATCTGTCATGCTGTCTAGCGCGGCAATATATAGCTATCGATTAACGAAATAGAAGTAATTTTCAACATTTTTCTAGCCAAATATTTTACACAAACTCGAACTGTGAAAAAAGTGTACATTTTTCATTTTTTAAGATTTTTTTATTTATTTATACGCCTATTGATTTGTTTCGCTTTATTGCAGAATATTCGTCAAATCTTTACATATACAGTGATATATGAGGGACATATTTCATTTTCATTGACATTTTCTGAAATAGAAAATTTTAATATAGATAAATGAAGCAATTATATATATTTTTAATTCTAAAACATTTCTATTTGAAAGAGAAATAGTGGGAGGAAAGTTTTAAAGTTTTAAAAAGATATACATTTTACTTTAAAATAGAGTGAAATAAAAAACCGTATATAGATAATATATGTAATAAAAAATTGGACGAAAGTTTGACAGATATAAACACTGTTTAAAAATAGAATTTTAGCTCATTTTATTCATAAGAATAGTATGCGTAGGGCATAAACAAAGAATGCAGAATATTTCAATAATCACAAACGTAGCAACACCGAAAGAAACAAGATAAACAAAAGTTTTTCATAAAAGTGATATTAAAAAATGTTTTATAATAAAATCGCTCGTTTAAGCTTTCTTGAATTTTAAATTATAATTTTTTATTTGTCCAGCACACACGTGCGTTATTTTCACTTGTGCATCAATCGCGGTGATGCAAACAGGTTTTATAAGGTTACTGAAAAAATCTAGAATTTTGAATAGCAATTTTGCATATCCCGCAAGCCATCCTTATATTTTATATCTCTCTTTCTGACGTATTCATCTGACGTATTCATCTGACGTATTCTCATGAATTCTTCCGCTTCATATTCTCCACCATGTTATGGCTAGAAGATTCTCATATTTGTCGGCGGATGTAAAGATTTAATCCGTTATGGTCGTCTAGTTTCCGTTTTATGTGCAGCGAGCTAAAATCAGGCTATAGTGCAGCGAGTTAATTTAACTCGACTGTTACGTAAGCAAGGTAGGCTGTAAATAGAACAATTTATAGGGATATACCCGATATATCGTTTACTACAGTTTGTCAAACTTAGTTAGAATCAGGATCAACGCTATTCTACCGGTTAACTTTGGTTAAAATTTTACAACTAAAAATTAATAAGAAAAGAAAACAGGCCAACTAAACCAGCAAGAAAATTATAGATGTTGAATAATTTTTATTTTAATATATTATATAATTGAAATGTAAACACGTCGACTGTACTCAGTCTTCTTCAATACAATAACATAATACAAAATGTGAAACCATATGCATTGTATTATTATTATTATGTTATTATATTGAAGAAGACTGATTGTGTGTGAGTACAGTAGAAACGTTTAAATTTCATTTTATAATATATTAAAATAAAAATTATTCAACCTCTATAATTTTCTTGCTCGTTTAGTTGGTCTATTTTTTCTTACTAATTTTTTAATTTAAACGAGCTTAATAATTATTAAAATTTTTACAACTGAACTTTTTATTTATAAAATTTTTGTTAAGTTTTTATAACTAAACCTTTATTTTTTTTCATCGTTCAAAGACATTTCAATATTTGATAAGTTTGATATCCCGCGTGATATAAAATGATCACTTGTTAAAAAAATTGAAATTATCTTTGTATTAAAACTTCATTGACTGTCATATTTTGCATTTTTTTTTAATTCATCGAGACTTAATTTTTTTTCAATCTGTGCTTTGAACAAAGTTATACTGCGATTGAATAACGCAGTAATAATTTTGAACAATAAATCTTGATTTAAAAAATGATCGATCTCTATTTTACAAATAAGTAAATGAAAAAGAACCATTAGCCAAAAGTGCTTTTATTCTCCACCACTGGACCTTGTACTTAATATATTCAATTTAATTAAAATTTGTTAGAGTTCCATATCTATTATTTTTATTTTATATCGAATCGGTCTCACACAGCTGCTCGAGTGATCAACGTGAATGGAGTGATCGATACGTATAAAAGAGAACTCTGTTAATCCACAGATATTACTCTCGATAAAGAAGAAATTAATCTTCTGCAGCTGTGACGAAAACGTCATATGCGCGAATATCGACAGAATGTATATTTTCAAAATAGTACTGCTAATTGAAGTTTTAAATAATAATTTCAACCAATAACACATCTATTTTCAGCTTCACATTTTTTATTCTTTTGATGTAGCGTCTCACAATTTTTCAAATCTGTTCGCGTTTCTCTCTTTTTCGCTTTTTTCACATTCAATATTTTGGATTTTATTTCATTATTCACGAGCAGTGTTTGCTGTTATCTAAATAAAATTATATAGCTATGATCATCTAGATGAAACTTTGGCATTATCTTATCTTTATGTAGATAACAAAAATATGTATTATCTATATCTGCATCTTAGATGAAAAAAATATTATCTTTACTAAATTATCTAGAATAATTTTCAAATAATTTTGATTTAGAATCATAGCACATAAAAATACTTAAATAGTAGAACTTAAGCAGTGAGCGATAAAAATTTATAAATAAAAATATGAATACATATTTTATAATTTACATTTTTTTATAACTGTGTTTATAAGCAGTCTTAAAAATGATTATCTAGAAAATTATCTAGATAAATCGCCATATAATTTTCTCTTTTATCTAGATATCTTTAAAACAAAATCATCTTTATCTTATCATATTATGATCTTTCTTTATCAATTTACATATTTTTCTCATCTTTTGATCTAGCCTAGCTAATTTTAATTTAATTTAATTTAATGTTTTTCATATTTTACTTTAAAATCTTATATTTAATTTATAATTAAAATTTTATATTTTATTTTTTTATATTTTTTTATTTTATTTCAAAATCATCTAAGCACAACATTGTTCATGAGATACGATCGGAGGTAAAGTCATGATTCTGCGCGAGAAAATAAGTCGAGAATGAAAAATAAAAATGTCTTATACGAGAATTTTATCCGATCGGTGTTTGCGTGTATGGGGGATCTCTTCAGTTGCTATTCTCGCTCTCGGGACGGGGATGAGGAAAAGGGATGACGGCGTTTTTACGACAACCCCGTTGAGATGATCATACCGCGATACAATGTCCGGAGCGGCGAGAAACCGCGAACGCGCGGCAGCGCATGCTCGTCTTCTGTTAAGTTCTGTATTCGCGTCCGCTAGTAACAGCTCAGCCGTCATCATCGGTGCTCTAGGTACAAGCACCTAGAGGAAATCCATATCGGAATCACGAAGTCGCTCCCGAACGCAGTATTGGCAGAATTAAGGTACCATTTCATGTGCAGCAGCATGCTGCCGCAGCAATTTCTTACTATTGGTGAAGTTCAATTGAACGAACAGCAAAGACAGCAAAGCAGAAGAACACGTAACTAGTTGATTTTAATTATTATTATTATTGTATTAGTTAAATGATGGATTTTTTATAAATAAAATTAATTATTTTGAGAATATAAAAGCAAAAATAGTAATTTTAACTCTTGAAATAATAAGAGAACAAAGAAATATGCTCTAATAAATTTTGATCACGTGACTGGTTTGCTGCTGCAGCATGCTGCGTATGAAAAGGCACCTTTAGATTTACAATTAGGATCGGTCAATGCTATTAATAAGGGAAGGTATCTCAACTCAAAAATTCAAAAAATTCTGAAACTTTGTGTACAATAATTTGAATATGTAATTTACCCGTAACACAAAACTTTTGTTCGTGCTGAATTATGGTTTGAAAGGGTGAAACCATCCCTCATAAGTAGAATAGCTTATTTTTGCTTTTCTCGATATATTTCGAAAATTAATCAAGATATTAAAAAAGGTCTTGTGGTAAAAAGACCTTTATTTAAAATAATTTTTGGAGATTAATAATTTTAAAAAATTTTTTCAAAATTTTATTAACGTGATTAAATAGAGGTGTTTTACTATAAAACTTTTGTCTAAAACATTTTTTGATATCTTGAATAATTTTCGAGATACATATATCGAGAAAAGCAATAAGTCATTCTATTTATATATATAAAGGTTGATTTCATTTCCTTAGATCTTAATTAAGCACAAAGAAAAATGTTTTGTATTACAGATAAACTACTTTACTTGTACACAAAGTTTCAGAATTTTTCGAATTTGGAGGTTGCTTAATTTCCCTTGTAAAAGAATCTGTACTTGTGGACGCCTCCTCTTTAATCGTTTAGATTTATATACATATATTATAATATATATTTATATCAAGATTTATATTCATTATAATACTGAAAAAAAATTTATTAAATTAGAATAAATATTTATTTCAATACTGCCTAAAAAATCATTTATTTAAACTAATAATATTGGCTTGATATGAAAAATATTTATTTGTTTGAATTTATTAATTTAATAATTTTTTTCAATTCTTATATTAATATAAGTATATTTATTATTAGCAATAAACGTGGTGATTTAAATGATAATTCCTATACAGTCCTTTTGCGGACGAAATTCGCCCCCTCCTAAAATATGGAAGTGTCCTAAGAAACGTTCTATTATATATATATATATATATATATATATATATATATATATATATATGTATATATATATATATATATATATAAAAAATGATGATTGTATCAACTGGTCTGACAATACTGCGCGGACGCGGCCGCAAAGTCGACTTCACCGTCGGCGTCGTCGCGCAGAGCCGTGGAGGTGGTGATCCGGTAATGGTCCTCGTCCTGGAGCACGTGCCGCGGCAGTCGCGTGTCATCGGCTGACCGGTAGACAGTACGAAATTATAGCGGCGTTATTTTTCGCAATTAAAAAAAAAAATGAAAAAAACGGGCTAACAAACGCACGATAATACAGAATATAATATACATAAAAAACAAGATTTTTTTCGCGAAAACGCGCGATGATAAACTTTCTGTTTTTCTAACTCGCAGTCGTGTGTATTCTTGTTTAATCGGATGATGTATTAATCGGACGAAAAAAAAAAAAAAAAAAAAAAAAACTTGTCGCACAAAGAATTCATTCTTCACGGGATCATCGTTGAGAGTCGGCGAAGGACCGATATCGGAAACGATTATATTTACGAATGTGATCGCCAAGGTTTACGGTGTAAAATATAGTGCACCGTTTTAACCGCGACGTTTTACGATAGTGCGCGATTGTATCGTGGTGCAGCTACATTTCACGATTATCGCGCTGAACGAAACCGCTCTCCGGAAGGATTAAGGTGGTTACCTGCACTAGACGGTAGGATATCGGGAAACATTTCAATGGGGCATCTCAATGATAGGTATTAGGTGACTGCAAGACTATATATGTATATATATGTAGAACCGTACGCAGTTCTTTGTTTTTGTAAAATCATTTTTTTCTATCAAATACGCCCACAGTTGAAACTATATTTTCGAGAGGATTTATATATAAAGGTTAAAATTTCTTTTTGTATACATTTGTAGTTTTGGATGAAATATTTTTTGTAAAATATTTCATCCAAAAATACTTTTTATAAAAATACAAAAAATATTTTCTCAAAATATTGTTTATAAAAAGTTGTTTCGTTCGTTTCGAAAATATAAACATATGAATAAAGATAAAATTGCACTCACATAATACCTACCATTGATGTCGATTGGTTTTCTCAAGGCAACATCTCCGTAAGATATAGTTCGCGTGAAACTGTTACATTGCATTACTTGTATTTGTTGTTAGATTGTAATCCAACTGTTGCAGTAACTGTATTTCGTACATTGTTCATAGCTGGAGGATTATATAGTTATTTGTGCTCCTCGAAATGCGTTCAATCTAGTAATTCATCACGAAACTCTCCAAATCTTCACAAAGATAAATAAAGATAATATAGTTACGAAGAAATAATATTTCCTTTGTAACGTTTACAGAATTTTTAATACAATAAAAGTCAGCTTAAACGGTAGAAAAAAATTTCGAGGATAAAATATTTATTATTAGAAAAGCGGGATTTAATCTCTGAAAATGTGAAGAATTAACGCGGCTCTGAAGTATGATTTCGTTCGTAAATATAGGATTTTTAGTATCATCAAATCGCGATTATATTATAATGCGATTACTGCGAATACGCAGTTGATATAAATAAATTTTTCGCAAACCTATACAGAGTTCCTGAAAACAAAATTAAATTCAACGCACGATGATTTGCGAATGTTAAATCCTCCGCATACTTTTTCATATATTGATGCAAGGAGATTTTATCTCAATTTTATTCAAGATTAATATGTGTAGTCGGATATACGCATTATTGTATGTAATTATACGTTTATTATACTTGACATTAGACATTTAAGCGAAATTTAATTTATTCGGGTTACCTCTTACACAATGGATTAACATGTACGTGCGCGCGAATAAAATTTATTGATTAATCAAAAGCCCTCCATCAATTGGTCAATTATTATTTTTTTTTTTTTTCAAACCGTCATAATCCCTTTCTTCCGCTCCGTCTCGGGGGATATAAATTCGCTCGTGTGCACTTTTATAGACCCTCGAAGGCACCGTCGAAAGGGTTAAATTGCCGATAAATCCCTCCCTGACTGCGCCGCGCAGTAATCGCTTTTAAATTAGCGTTCCGGAACTCATTCCCGGAGTACGAAGTAACGCGTCTCTTGCGAAGATTACGGAAGCTGAGAGGCTGGTTATAGCTCGTCTCGAGGATTAGGAAAGAATGTGTGTCCCGGTCGTGTGGATAAAACTATAAGATGTTTCTCTTTCGCGTATATAAGGGAGTTACAGTTTCTAATTCAACTTATTAAGCCGCGCGAGAAACTTATTTACAGAGACAAGTTTACTCGCTCGAAGACTCAATTAAAATGAGTTGTTTCTCTCTGTTTAATTTTGGTAAAACAGATTATCTCTATAATTTTAAGAAGATATTAATTGTGGGGTTAAGAAGAGAGAGACAGAGAGTAGTAAAACTGAGAAATTGATAAGTTGGTTTACAAGAAAATAAAATTATCCCGTGAAAACATTTTTTATATGTAATAATATAAAATTAAATATAGAAATATATAAAATTATACATATAATCGCAAAATTATATATGAAATATGTCCAAACATAATTAGATAAAAGTGCTTTTTATATATAATTATATAAATTTATATATATATATATATATATATATTTATATAATTATGTATAAAAATAGACATATTTCATATATGATTATATAAAAAATTTTTTCCCGAGATAACATGATGATTTAATAAATTTTATAACGTCAAGATGTTTTATTCTTCTTGCATGTATGTTTTAATATTTTTTATGGATTAATATATGACACTTAAGCCGCGCGAAACTTATTTACAGAAACAAGTTTATTTGCTCGAAAACTCAATTAAAACAAGTTATTTCTCTCTGTTTAATTTTGGTGAAACAGATTATCCCTATATAATTTTAAGATGTCAATCGTTAGATTAAGAAGAAAGAGACAGAGAATAGTGAAAACTGAGAAATTGATAAGTTAGTTTACAGGAAAATAAAATTATAACATGATTAAATTTTATGACGTCAAGGTGTTTTATTATTCTTCTTGCATGTGTGTTTAATATCTTTTATGAATTCATATATCTTTTATAGTTTTATTAATAAATTTTACGTTTTTATAAAAATTATGAAGTTATAGCATCATGATTTAATCAATTTTATAACAGTTTTTACTTCTTTTGTGTGTGTTCATCTTTTTTATAAAAGTAGTCTTTCTATGAAAATAAAAACATAAACAAAAAGTGAAAAAATTCGTATTTATTTATTGTTACTGTTAAACTGATATACATATCTGTTTGAAAACAATCAATACCTATATCTATTTCAAAACAAAAAAAAAGTTGTCACAAAATTTATATTGCAATAGAAAATCTGAGTTTTTATGCAAATTGTGCATATTTTTTTAAAATAAAGTGTCTAAAAAATATAAAATAAAAAAAAAAAAACAAATACATTGAGAAAAAAAATTTGTTAACTTGACGAAATCGTTCAACTATAATTACTATTTTGTTAATTAAACATATAAAAATATTTAAATTAAACACAACATTCATTTTAACATAACGTGTCTTGACTTAAATACTTATATATGTTCAATTAACAAAATAGTAATTAGTTGAACAATTTGGTCAAGTTACTGACTTAACTTTTCTTCTCAGTGTATAAAATATCTGTTTTATTTGAAATTTTTTAAACTGACTCTCTCGCCCTCTCTTTTTCTCTTCCCCCTCTTTCATTATATTATATTTTACGTATTTAATTTATTTCAAAATCGCGCGTCTTTGTGATATCTTAAATTCTTGAAGCTCCTTTACAAAAGAAATTTCACATTATCTTTGTGAAATATAAATTACGATCTTATTTAAAGAATATTATTCTTTAAATTAGATTGTGAACAAATGATATTTTTAGATGCTGTTTTCTGCCGAGAAATCTTTTGTAACTCTTTTGCCACGAGTTTCATGAAAACAAATAAGTTTCTCCGATAAGAAGATCTTATCATCGCCTTTATAAATTTGTCATGACAGGTAACTGATATTTTGCGAAAAAATTTTTTTGCATTTATAGGCGGTTTTTGTCAATTCTATCCAAAGCAAAAATTGGATGTTGGATGTTTTTTTATTGAATACTGAAATAACTTTGTTTACTAAAATTTAATTGGACGTTATATCTTTTTTCGCGAATTTTCAAAGGCCCATTTAATTGAAATCCCGGACAGGCATTATTATTCTATTGTACACTCGTTTAAGGATATCAAGTTAGTTTTATCGAAAAAGACACATGCACCAGTTAAAGGTGAATAATATGCTCGTGCGGTTTCCCGAAGGGAGAAGGTCAAACGACGAACAAAAATCGACAAAAAAAAAGAGAGAAAAAGTGAGTCTGCGAACGAGTTCAATACTGATTCGGTAAACGAAATTTTCTCGAGGCCTCGCCGAGAGAGAATCGAGCTTTCCGTGAATTAAACGTGAGCGTTTGCGAACTTTTTGCGACATCGTTCTGCTGCTGATTCTGTCAGTCAATATAGTAAAAAATTCTAGTTATATGCATTCTGTGTGCATATGTGTACAGGATGTCTCAGAATAATCGACAATCTGCTAATCTCAGCCCTTTAAAATCATTTAGAGATAATTTTTTGTTAACGAAAGTATCAAAGGATTAATTTTCAAGTTAAAAGTTATTATAAAAAAGAAAAGCTTTTGCATATTAAATTTTGTAGAGTTAAAGAAGTAACAAAATTGCTTTTTCAATTAACTTCAAGTAGAATTTAGTTTAATAGAGTTTTAATTTAAGAAAGAATTAGAATTTTAATTACAAAGATGAGGTGGTAAATATTGAAATAATTCCCAGAATCTGTCATTAGCAGGTGATGATTGCAACACCCTATATACATACACATACACACACATACATACACATTGTTGGAAAATTATATTACAAATTATAAATTATATTACATTAAACGTCCCAGGCAGCAAGTATCATTTCGATGTCATTAGAAGTCAAAGTGACGTCATTTTGACGTAACGATTATTTTTTTTAGATAGATTATTGGATCTTTAAGGAATATAAGTGATCGAATGTTTAGATATGAATTTGAAAGCCTAGTAAACGAACAATTCTCGTTTACTAGGCTTCCAAATTGATATCTAAACATTCACTTATATTTCTTTATCTAATGCCAAATCCGTCCTGGTCTTATTTTGTATGTACAAACTGCCAATATTGTGTATACGTGCGTATGTGTGGAAATGTATGGTGCCAACCTATCGGAGTTCGGGATGGTGTTTAGGATCCCCTTAATGACGTCAGTTTGCCACTCGGGATGTTTATTACTCAGGCGTGGTAATAAATAATCATAAAAATTTAATATTTAACTTAATATTTATGGGACATTTGAGCATTCCATAGATACTACCTTTACCCTATATCTCTAAAATCACTATTCTCGAGTATCGTAAGAGAGGTACCTTCCGGATAATGGGAGAATGCGTTGCCGCAGCCTCCTCATCACATGGCGAGTTACGTCTGTAGGAGTGACTATTGCTATTGATGGTCGATATTATTGATTTCGAGCATCTAGAGAGGTTCGTCTAGCAATTCCGAAGTGGGATCTTCGTGGACTAAGAGCTCCGTGCATGGTAGATGATCGTAAGCGTTTGACAGTCTGATCGTAACCATTTGTCATCTCTGATCGTCTTGTACTTCAACACGGACGCGAGAAATTG